TTTGGGACAATTTTGGGAATTTGTGACAATTTTGGGGGGTGACAAATTTTGGGAAGGGACAAAATTTGGGGGGTTTGAGACAAATTTTGGGAATTCTTGACAATTTTGGGGGTCGAAAATTTTTGGGAAGGGACAAATTTGGGGGGATTTGGGACAATTTTGGGAATTCGTGACATTTTTGGGGGATGACAAATTTGGGGGTGACAATTTTTTGGGAAGGGACAAAATTTGGGGGGATTTGGGACAAATTTTGGGAATTCGTGACAATTTTGGGGGCGACAATTTTTGGGAAGGGACAAATTTGGGGTTTTGTGACATTTTTGGGGGTGGCAATTTTGGGAAGGGACAAAATTTGGGGGGTTTGAGACAAATTTTGGGAATTCGTGACATTTTTGGGGGGTGACAAATTTGGGAGGTGACAAATTTTGGGGGGGGAGGGGACGGTTATTTTGGGGGGTGACATTTTAGGAGGTGACAATTTTTGGGGGGGGTTGTGACATTTTTGGGGGGTGACATTTTGGGGGGATTCCAAAAATTTTGGGGGGGTTCCAAAATTTGAATTCCAAAAATTTGGGTAAATTTTTTTTTTTTGGTGAGGTCTCGCCAATTTTTGGGGGGGATTTGGACAATTTTTGGGGATTTTGACAATTTTTGGGGGATTTTGACAATTTTTGGGGGGATTTGGACAATTTTTGGGGGATTTGGACAATTTTTTGGGGCGTTCGTGACACTTTTGGGAAGTTCCAAAAATTTTGGGGGGTTCTCCAAAAAATTTTTTGGGGGAGGGGGTGTTTCCAAAATTCGTGTCCCAAAAATTTGGGGGGATTGTGACAATTTTTTGGGGAGGGTTCCAAAATTAATTTGGGGGGGGGAAACTGATAATTTTAATTGGGGGGGTTCCAAAAATTTTGGGGGAGATTTCCAAATTTTGGGTTCCAAAAATTTGTCAAATTTTCCTTTTTTTGGGGGGGGGATTTTGACAATTTTTGGGGGGTTTTGCCCAAATTTTTGGGGGGTTTTGCCCTAATTTTTTGGGGGGTTTTGCTTCAATTTTTGGGGGGTTTTGCCCCAATTTTTGGGGGGTTTTGCCCCAATTTTTTTGGGGGTTTTACTCCAATTTTTTGGGGGGGTTTTGTCCCAGTTTTTGGGGGGTTTCACCCCAATTTTTTGGGGACTTTTACCCCAATTTTTTGCGGGGTTTTACTCCAATTTTTTGGGGGATCTCTCCAATTTTGGGGGGGATTTGCCCCAATTTTTTGGGGGGTTTTGCCCCAATTTTTGGGGGATCTCTCCAATTTTTTGGGGGGGTTTTGTCCCAATTTTTGGGGGGGTTTTGTCCCAATTTTTGGGGGGGTTTTGTCCCAATTTTTTGGGGGGTTTTGCTTCAATTTTTGGGGAGTTTTGCCCCAATTTTTGGGGGGGTTTTGCCCCAATTTTTGGGGGGTTTTGCCCCAATTTTTTTGAGGGATTTGCCCCAATTTTTGGGGGGGTTTTGCTCCAATTTTTGGGGGATTTTGCCCCAATTTTTTGGGGGATCTCTCCAATTTTTGAGGGATTTTTCCCCAATTTTTGGGGGTTTTGCCCCAATTTTTTGGGGGGTTCTCTCCAATTTTTTGGGGGCTTTCGCGCCGATTTTTGGGGCTCCCCGCCCTTAAAAAACCCCAAATTTTCCTTCCCCCCCTCCCCCACCCCCCGATTTTATTTTTAAATTTTATTTTTGGCCTCGGGGGGGGGAGGGGGGGGAGGGGCCCCCCCAAGGGGGGGCCCGAGCCCGGAGGTGACACCGGAGCCGCCGCTATTTTTGGGGGGGTCACGGAGCGAACCCCAAATTTGGCAG